CCCCTAATTGCGTTGTAAGTTCGACTCACTCATCCTATAAGAGTTGCTTCATAATTGTAATATTCAAAAGCATTTTCAGTTGTTATTCTTCATTTTTGATGTGGTTGCTGTTTGTGATTTCCATTCCATGTGATCCATACTCTCAGTTTTCTTTTCAGAATTCCTCTCTTTGCCTTTTCCCAATGTTAATATTTTTCTCCATGATAGAAGTTTTAGGGTCTATGTTAATATTTTATTTTATTTTTTAAATTTAGATCCTACAAGTTCAAGGCATTGATGATGGAATTAAATTCAACACTGCTCATTGTTCCTTATTGTAGATAAGGTTGTATAGGAGCAAGACGTAGCATCGCAGCATCGCGCGGGCAGTCTTGCTAGTACTAACTAAGAGAGGACTTTTTGGCTACTTCAAGATAAAACAAAGCAAAACTCAGAAGTGTCAAGTCCAACATACTAGCTATCAGGCTAAGCTAAAATAACGCAATGAACAGTTTCTCGCTAGATTTAGTGATGAAGGAGAGAGATTATTTTTCTTCTGTGCACTTCCTATTGTTATGTCTCCCTTCGAAAGTAACAATATTGTAGATTGGTCGTTGGCTGGCGGATGCGTCAAGATCTAATATCTGGGGAGCAACAACGGAGCGATGAGATTCTTCAACTTTTGAGTGGGAAAGCTTCTAGGTCCTCAAATATGGATTGACACACAGCGGAGTGACAGACGGCAGCGGAGTGACAGACCGATCGACGGAGCGATGATATACTTCGACTTTGAGTGATGGGGTTTCTTCGATTTCTGCGAGTCAGCTTCTGAAGTTATGGTTGTGAACTATTGGGTTGATCATGGAATAGATAAGGGAGAGGTAAAGTTGAGAAAGAGTATTTCACGCGAAAAAAATAAAAAAATTTAAAGAGAGCTTGAAGTTTATGGTTGTGAACTATGTGGTTGATTATGGAAGAGATAAGGGAGAGGGAAAGGTGAGAAAGTGTACTTCACGCGAAAAAAATTTTAAAAATTTAAAGAGAGCTTAATATGTCCAATAACTTAACTAAGATCTACCTCTGTTACCATTTTTCATCATATTCTGGACTTTTTTTTTAATTCTTAAATAGCAAATGAAAAAGTTATCTCCCAGTTAAGTATGTTGGAGAACAATTTAGATACAGAAATAACAGAACTTGAAATACTTATACTTAATTACTCAAAAATACTTACAATACAGAATGATACACAATAAATATAGAAAATTAAAATGATACTAACTTGAATGAATAAAAGGTAGAGGCTAGCACAAAAAACTATGTCCTTCGAACAGTATTTTTGTTCCACTCTTGTGCTTGTGGTTCTACAACATCTGCTCGACCAGGATACAACTACCTAATTCTACAACCCACACTGGATTATAAAATTCTAGCGAATTGCTTTGTGTGTTTACTCTCTCTAGAAAGTTTGTACAGAAGAAAAGGAAGGCTAAAAAAATATGATTTATGATGACTTCAGGACTCCAGTTATATATGCTCTTTCATACCTCTTCAAATACCTTTTGGATGTATCTAAAGCTATACAACTCTTTGGAAAGAGTTGTGTCTATTAATCAAAATGTTTTAAATTAAAAACTTAATTCGAAATTAAAACTAATTGATCAAATTAATTTTAATTCTTAAGCCCCAAGGCTCAAGACCCTTGTCTTGATTAATTAATATTAATTTATATTAATATTATGGTACAATCATCAAGCCTAATCCACACAATTAGTGACCCAAGCCTCAATCATCATTCCAAATGGTCCAACACTTAACTAATATTGTAGAAGACAAGACATATATAAATGTCATTGATAATTTTGTTTTCCCCGATGTAGGACAAGAGTCTTAAAACTTCCAACAAAGTATAGAACAAATATCATAATATTAGTAAGGAGACACAATAGAGATACAAAAATGGAAACATCAGACCCTTGGCTATAAAAATTAAAGGTGTTAGATTCTTAAATAATAAAATACTATAGTATTTGTTAAAATATAGCCGGGAATGATTAGTTAAATTCACTAGCTAAATTGTTAAAAAAAAAAAAATCACTAGCTAATTTAGTTTTTTGACACTACTCAGTCGTTAAAGTAACAAAAATTTAACATTTGTTGTTGGAGATGCTCTAAAGGCTATCTTCAACCCAAGGTTGGAAAATCCCAAAATTTAGCCCTGTATTTTTAACTAGTCATCTATATATATGAGGTTAATTAGTTTTTTAGGAAAACTAATAAAAAGAGCTTGAAAACTTTGAGTTTTAACTACAAGGACAAAATAAAGGGTAAAATGAATAGTACCATGATTGACTTTTTAGTGTAAAATGTGGTTTTTCGTTAAAGTGAACAGTAACATGAGCTTTTCGTTAAAGTTTCCTAGTTTTTTTCCTCCAACGGTAAGAGACCTATAATTCTCATCATCAACTTTATAATTTGTTAAATTTTTGTATTTCATTGACTTTTTTTTCTAATAATTTTGGAATTAGTTTTTGTATAATCTATCTTGTTTATCTTTACAAACATTTTGATATAAAAAAGATTCAAATTTGAACAAAAAAATGTTGGTGTATTTTTTAATGGGATTCATATGATGAACAAATGGATGAGTATTTATAAAGTTTTGATGTTAGATCTGATTGGAATTAATTAATAATATTATTTTGACCGTTGAATTTTTATTTGAGTTGTTAGATTTTTTTATTGTCAAATGGATGAGTATTTATCACAGTTGAAAAAAATTTAAAACTGACTGTTGGATTTCAACGGTAAAAAACATTAAATAACTGTTGGAATCTGATGTAGATGGGCACGCCATATCGGATCAAAACTCAGGAGCACGTGTCAGCCATTTGATGCCAACGTGGCTATTATTTGGGCGGTAGAAGAGATGTTTGTCGTTAGCTCGCCTGCAACAATCTGTCTGGTATATTGCATCCGATGCACGAGCCCCGACCTCGTCTGGTCACTTCCTTCCCTTATCCATCAGGGGGGGCTTATCCATCCGCGGCCGGCGGGGGGGGGGGGGGGATAACAGACCCAAATTCCGACCTACAAACACAAAATTCCATTTTTTCCAACCCAAAATACTTCCTTGGAGATGTTTCGGGCTCAAATTTTAGTGTAGGATTCTCTTCCCCTTTTTTTCCCTCCCATCCCCTACCATTTTATTTGAACAGTCACGATTAAGTCACTTCAATATCTTATATATATATTTTTTTTATAGAGAACAAAAGACAAAATGAAAAGTATGAGATGAAAAGATAGAAGGATACATGAATAAGAGAGGAGAGAATCTACCCCTCAAATTTTAAGGGAGGCAGATTGTCTGCCCTCTTGTTATGGTGCCATTCCAATCCCCTCCTATTTGTGAGAGTACGGTTAAGCCACGTCAACATTTTATATTCTTATTATTTTTTGTCTTATTACCTCTATAAAAAATTAATATAAAATATTAATGTGACTTAACCGTGACCGCATAAATAAAAGAGAATAGAAAATGCACCATAACAGGAGGGCAGACAATCTGCCTCCAATTTTGAGTACCCTTTCCCATCCCCTGAAGACAGCCTAAGGACAGCAATGAATTCATTAAAATTAAAATGTCAACCATGACCAATGGATTTACTATTTAGGCAGCCAGCCTTTTCATCCTCACAAGGGCCACCGATTCATCAAGTCAACTTTTATCGGCCGATTGTTTCATTTTTATCTCGTTTCACACGTTTTATTTATTTATTTATTAATTAAATGATATTTCAAATCATTGAAGAGCATTACAATTACATTCAAGTGCCATTGATTGAGACTCTCGTTTTACATTTGTCGTAGTTAAATTACCAACTAGAAACACTTGTAAAACGTTTTATTTGGGGAATTTTTTTTTATATCAACACTTACAAATGCGATCATGCACATTCACAGTGAAAAAATATAAAAAGAAAAGAAAAGTGCATAACTATTTTTAAAGTTAAACTGACGGTTGTTTTGTCATATTCACCAGCATCGAGCTCTTGATCTCCAACAACTTCACCAACATTTCGAAATTTACGATAAAGTCCGGCCATAATCAAGAAGGATACATGGAAGCCGGAGATGAGAGAGATCTATAGAAATGGGAGAAAAAGGAATTGGATTTTGGGAGAGGAGAGAAGTAGGACGCTAGTGATGAACTTTGGGTACTGAAACAATTGACAATCAGGTGGAGAAAAGAGGTGAAAAGAAATGCGTTTGGATTTTCAATATCACTTTCAACCCATTTGTAGATTTTCACTTTCTATAATCTGATTCGTCGAATGAATTCAACAATCATAATAGTTTACTCCACAGCTAAACCTTGCACAATACTTCCGCAACAGCTTGGTCGGTTTACATTAGGAAGACCAACTCAACAAGTACTGAACTTAACAGAAATGTTCAACTCGTCACCAAATGGTGGGGAAATATCCGGTCACTCGTCTTTAAATTGAATATCAAACACGAAGAATAAATAAAGGGATCTATTACTAATATTCTAAAAATCATATTCTACATTTTTCGTAAGTGCATTTTTCTTTCCAATTCTAAAAAGTTTGAAATGCAAAATGAAAATTTTGAAATTCCAATAACAATTCCCTAAATGCATGTGTTTTTCATATTTTGATCTCAACTACTAATGTAACGAGACTCTTGAAGTTAATCCATTTTTTTTTTATTTTACAAAAAGGTAATCCAAACTGGAAAAAAAGAAAAATCTTTAGGTATCGTTTGGTATGCAGACGGAACGGAATGAGACAAGACGAGACGGGACAGGACGGGATAGAACGGAAAGGGAGCAAAGATACCTTCAGATGGAAACAAGAAGAAAAAAGAATGAGACGGAGATGTTATAATTTTATGTTCCACGAATATAGAACAAGTTGTTTTAGAGGGTGAAACGAAAATTCATCCAAAACTCGTCCTACAGCGTTCCACCTGCTTTTAGACGCACCAAACATAGAAAAGAACACCCTCGTCACACTCCGATCCGTGCCGTCCCATGTGATTCCGTCCCATGTACCAAACACCTAGAGGAACTCCACCCCAGTGTGGTTTAGGGCTTAAACAGAGCCACCGATCGCTCCGGAAGGACTCCTGGGTAAGTCGATTCGACACTCACCGCCGCCCAATTTCCGAAAAGGATGACATTTTGAAGGCAGAATTCGAAAATGAAACCCGAACAAACCCCGTCCCAGCTCGACCGATCTCACCGTTCTGCCGGCAACCGGTGCAGCACGCGTTCCCAAGTAGCCCCGGACTGGAATCCGACGGACGAGCTCATCCTCGTGAACGAGGTCGCCGCAGTCGAGGCCGACTGTCTGAAAGCGCTGTCGTCGTTTCAGAAATGGAAGATCATAGCTCAGAACTGCTTTACCCTGGGCGTGTCGCGGACATTGGACCAGTATCGCCGGAAGTGGGACGCTTTGTTCGGCGAGTACAAGGGGATCAAGCAGTGGGAGGCGAAGTGCCGAGCTTCGGATTCGTACTGGGTTTTGGGAATTGAGAGGAGGAAGCGGAATGGGTTGCCGGAGAATTTTGATCAGGAGCTGTTTAGTGGGATTGATAAGCTTGTAAGGGTGAGGGGAAACCAATCGGATACGGACCCGGATAGTGATCCCGAAGACGAGGCGGAGGCTGAGCCGGAGGAACTTGATTCCGAGCCAGGTATGCTTGTTCACAAGCCCCAAATGGAAATCTGTGTTGATATGTAATACTGCATTGCATGATTACAATGCAATTGCGTGTTTGGTTTCGCATTTTCGTTTAATTTTGTGCCGAAGATTTTGTGTTGGCATCATTGGTTTCGCATTTTCGTTTAATTTTGTGCCCTGAATGAATGTTTACATTGTGAAGTATGCCTTCTATATCAGCTCATTACTTTGGAAAATTATTAATGAAGCGGGAGGGTCCAATCGAGCGCCCTTTGTATAGAATGGTGTTATTTTGCCCGCTCACAAATGGCTTACTAACGGATAGATGCAATATGCAGGGGCTTGTAGCTCAAGTGGTTAAGAACTATTACTCTTCCACCTGATGTCTTGTGTTTGAATCCCTCATCCCCAATATTGCTTAGATAAAAAATAACGTACAAATGATTAAGAGATTATGGGTTTTGAAATCTGGAGAAGAACATAATCTTGCTTGTTAAATGCAAGATATGTTAAATCTAAGTAGTAAACTAAACCGGAAAGTTTCTTTTTTTTTGTTTGCCTATGATTTTTGTAGGTGAAGGGGTAAGTTCACTCCTTAAACAGTGTATTTACGCACCAAAAACGAATTGATACTTAAATCATGATTCATACGGTTGGAATGCTGATGTGCATGAATGTTTTATTGACAAGGGTTGGTTGAGACATACGACATATGCATACCCACTTAATATTTATGTTGTTTATGAGATTGATTACTCTATAACAGTGTGTATACCATTTCAAGCTTCAATAAATTCTTGATTAATTGAGTCTCCCGCTCCTGGTATTCTTTCTAGACGTTAATGGGTGATGTCGTTAAAAGTTTAAGGTGGTTGAATTTGCAATGTGAAAAGTTCTTTAGATAGTTTTTATAGGACAACTGCATAAGTCGCTTGAACTTTTGAGTAATGGGTGAGTAAATGAATAAGTAGTTATTGTTTAACTGTTTTTGTGCTTGAAGTTGTGAAAATGCTAACAACCAGGTTGTTTGCGTAAGTAATTCTCACCAGCTCTTTTCTTATAATTGCCTTGTATGCTAGAGTCCAAGAGGAGAAAGCGTCGATCAATACCTCAGAAAAGCTGTCCTAAAGAAAATTCATTTAGAAGCTGCAAGAGAGAAAAGCCTCGCGAAACTCATGCTCAAGAAAAACCTCAAGAAACCCATGCAGAAGAAAAACCTGTGGGAAGCGGCTTAAAAGCAATTCCTACGAAGAGCCTGGCAGAAGAACGGCCTCAGAAGAGCTGTGTGAAGAAAAAACTTACAAATAGTCAAAGAAAAGAGGAGGCAATCAGCATTGAAGAACAAGAGAAAACTGCAGCTATGAAATTGCATGAAAGTGCAGAACTAATCCGTGCTATCGTTACTGAGAAACCTGACCATGAGGCTGCTGGCGTGAAGAGCACCGGGGACCTCCAAACTGATTTTGTTAGGTGCCAAGGGGACCGGGTCATTGCATGCCTTGGCGATATTGTGAAGACTCTCGACCAGCTCCATCATCTTGTCCAGGAATGTGAATAGTTTTTCCCTAACTTTTAATTTCTTTTGAACTGAATGTGAATATTTAAATGGTTAAGAGTTTGGTGTTAAAGTTTATCTTTAATGGTAGATGCAACGTTGGAATTAGTTTCATTACTGTTCTGTTTGCGTGTGGAACACCAGTTTAGCCATGAATGAGAGTAGTTCCCGGTCTTTTTCGCAGTATAGTCCACTCTTTCTAGTCAAAAGGGCAAGGGTAAGTTTTCATCCTAGATACATTATTAATCTCAGGTGATTGCTCCCGGGTTATTGTCAGCCTTTGATGCATATAGATCTCATTGTAGGCTTTGCATACATCAACAGTTGACGACCACCATCATACACGTATGCGTGTGGATGACTGTCGAGAACAATCCTGTCGGCAACAATGCCCAATTGTAGTTGTGTAGTATGACCATGGGGTTTCACAAATCTTTTAGGACTTGTCCTTCATTTTGCTTCTTTCTTGGAGCTTCACGAGTGAAAGTTTGAGACCATTAGAAAGCAATAACTATTACTTGTATCTGGCAATGGACCCGTGATTGCCAACTGAAGAAACAAATATCAAATGACATTGAAAATTAGAAAAAGGCTAGGCTGGCGGGTTGCAAGTAGACCTCTCACGAGATTTCCAACTTTCGTTTTGTTCGGGTTTTGGATCGCTTATATTTTGATGATTCAACCCGAACTAACCAGAGAGATAGAGCCCGGCTCAAGCACTAAAATGGTGGGCACTTGATCGCTCCTCGTGCTTCATCTACCTTGCAATTACAAAGGGCTCTCTCCTTTTTACAAACAGCATCTTACTCTTGCCCAAATGCCAAGCAAAATCTTTCTCAATCTTCCAACATTGTTGCTTCCATTAATTCAGTTACTCTCCAGCACTAACAGAACCAATCCATGAACAATCAAATCAACGTCCACTGCACCAGCCACCCTCAAATTTCATCTCCCGGCCGCCCGAACAACAATTCAAACGAACCTAACACAGCTCCCTTACTTCTCCAATCCTCAGATGAACTCTGCAGCTTCAAAGGCAGCCTAAAATGGTGGGCACTTGACCACTCCTCGTGCTTCGGAAAATTCCTATCTTACTTCACCTTCATCTTCTTAACAGTCCTAGTCCCAATCCTCACCTCCCTCTCTCTCAAACTCCCATCTGGGGACCCCATCTCATTCAACAAGCTAGTCCAACTTCCCGAGTCCAGCTTAGCCGCCATTGGGTTCATGACTCTTTCTGGCTTCTTCCGAAAATATGGACTGAGGCAACTCCTCTTCCTCGACGGTCTTACAGATGACTCTGGCTTTGTTCGTCGTGGATACACTCGTGAGCTTGACAAGGCCTTCAAGTACCTAGCTTGCATACTACTGCCGTCCTTTTTCATTGAGCTTGCCCACAAGATCATATTCTTCTCCAATGTCCAAATCTCACTGCCTCATATAAGCTCAAGCGTCCCAGTCAACTCAATTATGTTTGTTTTGGTTTTGGCTTCTTGGGTTTATAGGACTGGGGTGTTCTTGCTGGTTTGTGTTATGTTCCGGTTGACTTGCGAGCTACAAATACTTCGATTCGAAGGGCTTTACAAGTTGTTTGAAGGGCATGAATACGAATCCAGTATCATATTCCAGGTATAGTTTGAAATTTCGATAAAATTCCCTGTATTTATCTTGGTAACACTAACACGTATACACTTTAGCCAATTTTAGCTAGTACAGTACCATTATACAGTACCTGGTACATTGTGATATTTAATTAATACTTTGTCAATATTACTAAATATCAATAACGCAGAATATTTTGTGTACACAACAACAACAACAACAACAACAAAGCCTTTTCCCACTAAGTGGGGTCGGCTATATGAATCCTAGAATGCCATTGCGTTCGGTTTTAGAATATTTTGTGTACACATTTGATAAAAAAAATTCATATAATTTCAGGAACATGTAAGGATAAGAAAGCAATTGAAGGTCACGAGCCACAGGTACCGCTTCTTTATCATCGGATGCATGTTTACCATCACGGTGAGTCAATTCGGGGCCTTGTTGCTGGTTTTGGCATCCAAGACGGAGAAGACTTTCCTCAACTCTGGTGATCTTGTGGTTTGTTCTGCAGTCGAGCTTAGTGGCTTGTTTTGTTGCCTAATGGAGGCAGCAAGAATTACTCATAGAGCTCAAGGAGTTGTAGCAATTGCAACAAGATGGCACATGCTCTTGACTTGTCCGAATGCCGGATCAGACCAGCAGTGGAAAAGCCGGCAGATTAGCTCAGAGGCAAATGGACGCTGTAGAGAGAGTGACTGTGAACATTCATCAGACATTTCCACTTCAGTTCCTCCACAGCAGCCTTCCTCATTTCAAACCAGGCAAGCTCTGGGTGAGTATGCTTGCCCTCTAAGTTTATATTCCTTAGTTTCATAGTAGTACAGTTATTTTTGTAGGATAACCAGGAAAATTCAAGACCTACTTATTATATAAAGGACAATGGCGTATGATGAACTCTGAATATGTGTAGTCACTTTCAAGTTAATTAACCCCACGTATCAGGTAAACTCGTGTGTTTTTAACATGTGAAAACACACGAGCTTACCTGATACATGGTGATATGGATGCTTATGTATAGTTTGGTGTACGTTTGTGTGCGCAGTGGCGTATTTGAGTCACAACAACGGAGGGATCACGCTGTATGGGTTTGCGCTTGATCGGGGGTTGCTTCACACACTATTTGCATTTGAGTTCTCTCTGGTGCTGTGGGTGCTCAGCAAAGTGGTTGTTTTGTCTTAAGAACAACTTAGAGGTTTGCCGAATGAAGCTTCCAACACCAACATGTCAACGTTAACACTGCTGGAGGTGGAAGAGCAGTACCAATCAGATGAGCTCAAAGACAGACAGGACGATTATATTGAAATCTTCAAAATTTTCCTCATGAAATGGGAAATACTAGTTAATTAAACATTAATATATACATGAGGATTGTCGATATCGAAAACACACAGAAGGAAGATGTAGAGAGAAGCATTGGTGAGGCAAAAAATCAAATGCTACAACCAAACGTATCCGAGTACATATATACATGTTCATGAACTCGGCTGAGCCAACAATGAACTTACTACTCATCCTCCAAAAAATAAACGAACAACTAGCTAACAGCAAAGCTATAATACAAAGACTAAAAAACGTTTTTTCCATGTAGTTTACACAAAGTTTCTCTTACGAGACATCGTCCCTGTAGTTTCATGTAATTTGCCAATTGTTCCTGGTAGAGGACATCTGTCACTTATGTTGATTTCTTGTACGAAATCTATCAGGCTAACCCTTTCGTGTACCATGTACGTGACAATTTGTTAACAAAAGTTGACAGATCTCCTTAGAGTTGCAACAATTGGCATATAATAGATACCAAATTTGATGCATTATATATAGAAAATTATGCACGAAAGTCAAACCTTCTGAAAAGTTGAGTTTAGTAGCACTATTTTATGTAAACTTTTGACTTTTTTTTTTAACTATAATATACCCATATTTATTATAAAATGTATCGTAGTTTTAAAATGTACTATTATTTAAAAATAAAAAACCATATCAGACTTTCACAGCATATATGAGTAAAAAATCATTACTTGATACTAATCTTTGCCCACCATTAGGGTGAATTATTAGTTATTGTAGAAATTGATTCTTTCTTAATCACCAAACGTGCAGCAGTACAACATTTATACAAATATTACAACCATAACAGCCCTATACTAATTACAGCCATAATAGTCCTTAACTAATGACATAGGAATGACAAATAATTATCGAAACGGAAAACAATTACACACAGTCATTGCATTGGTGATAAAGGTTGTAACTCCCTTGTAGACATTAAAATTTCGGTGAAATAAATGTTGACCAATAGTTACAATTTCAATGCTCACGTGTCACATAAATTTTACACGTAGCGTGTGACTAAACGAAAAATCAAAATAAATCGGAAAAGTCATCAAACAGGACACGTGTCAACATCTGGCAGAAATGATTTATTTCATCTGAATATTATATTCAAAACTAGGCTTTGGAAAATTCTATAAATAGAAGCCATTTCATTCATTTTAGTGAGGACCAATTCATAACCAATTCACCTCACACCAAAACCTTGAAGCTTTGAAACTCCAAAGCTCCCAAGCAAATCCCAAGGGATCAAGAAAGCTCTCTTCGTTCTCCGTCAACCCAACCTTCAAGATCAAGCCCCAACGGCCATTTGGAGGAACTTCCACCAATTCAAGATCAAGCCCCGATGACCCTTGAAGAAAGTGTTCATCGTTCATCATCCGTTCATCCTAAGATCAAGCCCCAATGGCCTTTTGGATCAACAACATCAACAAATCCACACATACAACCGTTCTTCAAGATCAAGGCCAAAAGCCCTTGAAGATCCATCCATTAACTGTTCATTGAGATCAAGCCCCAAAGGCCCCTAGAAGATCCGTTCATCAACAATTCTTCAAGATCAAGCACAAAAGCCCTTAAAGATCCGTTTATCCATCAATCTTCAAGATCAAGCCCAAAAGGCCCCTTGAAGAAACTTCCAACCATTCATCTAAGATCAAGCCTCGACGGCCCTTGGATCAGCATCACAATCCACAAATCAACACCTTACGAAGATCGAATCAGATGATCAAATTTGAGAGAGATTTTAACCCCTAAATCATTAATACAAAATATTATTTTGTACACGTGTTATTGTCTCGTTTGTTTCAGGATTTTCCGTGTTTACAAATTTGGCAGGCCTAGTGGGACTATCTCTACCTCTCATCTCTTTGTCCGTTCAAGAAATCTAAACACACCTCAAAGTCAATGGCATCATGCAAGGGATAAGCCGTTCTCGCAACCACCAAGGGAAGGATCCTAAGCACTTATGCCGCGAACGAACAATCCATTGGCGCTACAACCGCTCCTCAAAATGCCACTTCAAAGTTGGTGCTACTAAAGGAGTAAGGAGAGCATTAAAGGCGCGAGTCCATCATCAACCTGACCTCGCCGGGGGCACCGAAGTATGCTGCTAAGGCACATAAGATGACATCCCAATAGGGGTGGGTTTGGTTTAAATCGGTTCGGTTTTTTGCCAAAACCGAAACCAAACCGAAATTTCGGTTCGGTTTGGTTCGGTTCATTTTTTTTCGATTCAGTTTTTTTTCGATTCAGTTTTTTTCTGTTCGGTTTCGGTTTTTTGTTTTTTGTTTTTTTCAAAAAATGAAAAACATTGAAATTTTAAATTTTAACATATCCAACACAATCATAACATAAGCATTCTAACTAGAATCAAAGACAATGAAAATAAATATTTAAAGTTGAACTAAAATCATCAATCAAGTCTTCCAAAGTCCAAACTAACAACCTCACAACACAAAAATCGTACAAATGACTTAGAAAAGTTAAATTGTATGATGTTGTTCAAAGATCAGGGTTGTTTGCTTGTAAGTGCATGTTGACAACTTGATTAGTAAAAGTAATGCATGGGTGGATTTATTTAGTGTGTTGGATTCTTTTCCATCACAAATTACCCAAGTAATCTACCCGAAATAAATGTTTATGGATTCTGTTACATGTTATATGAGAGTAGATTTGGAAAAGAAAGATGGGGCAGAAGTAGACAGTGCTATGGAGATGGATGTAAGTATTTCAGGAGGAGGTTTGGTTCCGGAACCTTATATGGGGGAGAAATAATAGGTTAGGGTTTAGAGTTTTTATAGGCCTTTTTTTAATATTTTGAGCTTAAAGTTTGGCAACATATTGGGTTTAGCACATTTTAACTTACAAATTGGGTTTAGAAAATAATACCCAAAACAAATAATTAAATAAAAAAATTAATTTAATTAATTCGGTTTCAGTTCGGTTTGGTTCGGTTTCTAGATCACTAAAACCGAACCGAACCAAAAGAATTCGGTTCGGTTCAGTTCGATTTTTTCAATTCGGTTTGGTTTTTTCGTTTGGTTCGGTTTTTTCGGTTTCGGTTTGGTTTGGTTTTCGGTTTTTTTCGGTTTTCGATTTTTTGAACCCACCCCTACATCCCAAAGCAGCCAACAACATTCTTCGTTAGCATCCTGGATGTCTAAAGAAAAGTCACGTCTATTGGTTGCACAAGTCATGACCATTAGTGTTACCTCCATTGAAGAACAACTGGCTCAAATGAATGAAGCGATCGCAAGGCTAACACGGATTGTGGAAGAAAAAGACTTGCAAATCGTTGCACTCGTCAGCCGACTGGAGCCACGGGACGGCAAGAACCCCGACCTAGAGGATGATCCATTAAAGAGATGAGCTGGTGAAGAAGAGGAGCCTCAGATGGAGAAAATCGATGTGAAGCCGGAGCCAGACCAAGCAGCGGCACTTATGGGATCTTTTTCTATCCAACAGCTGCAAGAGATGAACACCAACACCATCAAGGAGCAGTACGAAGGGAGCTCACATACCTCATTGTTCTACTCGAAGCCCTACTCCAAGAAGATTGATGCCCTGAAGATGCCAATGGGTTATCAACCATCAAAGTTCATGCAGTTTGATGGAAAAGGAAACCCAAAGCAGCACGTTGCACATTTCGTCAAAACTTGCAATAAAACGGGGACGGAGGGAGACTACCTCGCCAAGTAGTTTGTGCGCTCGCTGAAAGGAAACGCCTTTGAGTAGTACACGGACCTCGAGCCTGAGTCCATCAACAACTGGGAGCAATTAGAAAGAGAATTCCTTAACCACTTCTACAGCACTGGCCGCACTGTAAGCATGCTGGAGCTGACAGGTATGAAGCAATGGAAAGATGAGCCAGTCGTAGACTACATCAACCGATAACGCACTCTAAGTCTCGACTGCAAAGACATATTTTCGAAGACCTCATCGATCGAGATGTGTGTTCAAGGCATGTAGTGGGGATTACACTACATCCTTCAAGGCATCAAACCACGGACCTTTGAGGAGTTAGCCATCTGCGCCCATGACATGGAGTTGAGCATCGCTCATCATGGGAAGAAAGAACCGATCGCCGACTACAAGAACGACAAAGTTCTTGGGATAAATGTGGAGAAGGCTACGTGGAAATCCACCAAGGAAGCAATGACAGTCAACACAGGTCCCGTCAAAATCTCTACACGATGCAAGGCGATTCAAGCCGAAGTTTTTCATGATCAAGAGATGCGTAGACGTACTTGAAGGAGCTTGTGGAGAAAACTTATCCATTCCCTAACTCTGATGTGGTTGCCATGTTAAAAGACTTGCTTGACAAAAAGGTGATCGACCTACTTGAGTGCAGACGGCCGGAAGAGATGAATCGTACTGACAGTCCAATGTACTGTAAATTCCACCGTTTCATCAGTCATCTAACGGAAAAGGGCTTCGTACTGAAAGATCTCATCATGAAGTTGGCTTAAAAATGAATCATTGAGCTAGATCTTGACGATGTGGTGAAGTCAAATTATACCACCGTCACTTCTAGCTCCGTTAACTCAAAATCTTCACCTCAATCGCTGGGGGCATGCTCTAAAACCATGCCAGTCAAGCAGAGTAAAGTTGAGGGATGGACTCATGTTACTTCGAAGAAATTGCACAAGAAACATATGTCTCCTCCACAAGTTCACCAATCGAAAAGGGGGCAAAGCAGTTCCCGTCAACCTCCAAAGCTACACGAAAGTGTTGAGGATGATGAAATTGCGACACGAAGATCGTCCGTTGCCATCACGATGCGCTACTTCTTCCCCGAAGACTTCTTCAAGCACTCGATCAAGACTCCTTGCTATGAGGATTGCAAGGAATGCCTCTCTAAGATCGTTTAAAAACAAATTCACATGTTCCTCGTTCATATGAGCCTAAAAGATGACAACAATGCTCCTCGTTCGCACGAGCCTAAAAGGTGACAACAAAAGCTCCTTGTACGCACGAGCGTAAAATGCGACACCAAACACTCCTTGCCTGCACAAGTTGAAACTGCAAATGGCACCAAGATGCTCCTGGCCCGCAAGAGCATAAACTGCGTATGGCACAAAAAAAAAATCCAAAAAAAGATGTATTTGAACTACGTTTTGACTTGATCTCTTTCTTTGGAAGGGTACGTAGGCAGCTCGAGCATTCAATTTCGAGTTCAGTCACATAATAATAATAATAATAATAATAATAATAATAATAATAGGGGTTTGATTAAAATTTCATTGATGAAGGTCAATTTTATTAAAAATTTATTTTCTTAAAAAAAAATTGCAATTTTCTTTGTACAAAATTAAATTACAGTTTCTTTGAAAAAAAAAAATGAATACATATGTTATTATGTATTAAAAAAAAAAAGATACAATTTCTTCAAAAGAAAAAAAAAGGAAATATATATATATATATATACAGACAAGTCCAGGCCCAGTTTTTTTCTGGCTCCTCAGCCCAATCTCGCCTCTAATCTGGCTAAAATCTCTCTCTTTCTCCAGCTGGAAATACACTAGCA